CTTATGTATTGATGTTTGGCCAATAAAATATTATTATTATTTTAGAATTTTGTATTAAAATCTCTACATTCATAAAGTATTAAAAAATAAATGAAAATTTAATGAATTCCTCATTAATATGAAATTCATGCTATAAAAGCACCAACTCATTAAAAGTGCTAATTAGTGTACACACATATTAATTTGTAAACTTTACTAAAAATATGCATAACATAAAACACAAAAATCTAAATGATTACTAATAAATTTTAATCAAAGTTAATATGTATTTTCATTATCTAAATTTTCGTCAATTATTTAGTATTATTTTTTTTTAAAGTTAATTTATTTGTTTTATATTGATTTTATAATGTGAACCAATAATGTTTATTTCTGAAATTATATTTATTTTTACTTTCCTAATTAATCTATTAATTTATTATACAAAATCTGTGTTAATAAAAATATAAAAAACTAAAAGTTTTTATTAGAAGTAATTAGTACAAAAAGACCTCGCATAGTGCGGTTAATCGGTTCCGCCAATAAAGCGCACTAATCGAAAACTTTAAAGCGGCATAAAAACAGTACATAAAGAGACTCAATGATAGAGGAAAAATAGCAATCATTTATGTATAAAAAAGTAATTTTGTGTAACATATTTTTTATAAATTATTTGTATTTACTTTGTTTTGAAATTTTCTAATGTATCCGCAAACTCGCATAGAAGGTATTGCGTAGTGTGACTGAAAAATACCAAATCCATGTAATAAACATGCACTTTTAAAGAAATGCAATATAAGGAAATATATGAAAGATAATATAGTCTACCGTATTGGAAACATATGGACTGTAGAAATACCTTTTGTGCAAAGAGCAATGCAATATTTATTGAATGCTGTGGATCAACAAAAAAGAGGGCATCGCCAAAGGCAAGAGAAATATACGTCGCTTGGCATATGAAATGTGCGAGAGTTCAATGCGAAAAATTGCATAAATGTGTAACAGTGTAGCTGTTGTCCCATGTCGGGCCCAAACAGGAGCCAGGTGACATGCAATAAAGTACATATTAAGTCCGGGTTCTGGGCGTACAAAGCGCCCCAGAAACTCAATACGTTTCTGCTTACAAGCCCCTACTCACATCACTACAACAAACGCCTCAGCTTAAGGCGAAAACGCGGACCAAACTAAAACAATGAACACCCAACAAATAGAAAAACTGTTGCGAATATTCGCACGTTTCCAACAATGTTTCAATCGAAATATGCATTTGCAAATACATTTTTCATTCGCACCAATTGATTTCAGTTTCAATTCCTCCAGCAATTAAAATATTTTTGCTATTGTTTGGTAAACCACAATACGATCCAATTCGAATAGATCGAAACCAAATAAATAACAACAACAAATAAAATACAAAAAAGTTTATACGCGTGTAGGTTTGTGCTGACATTCTGTTGTTGCCATCCCCCAATAATCCAATGCACATTTAATTATTCTGCCCCAAATATTTTAGATGAACACGCACGTGTTTAGTTTATTTATATATTCATATGTTTCCTACTCGATGAAATCAATGATTAGTCATTTTAATTGCGTAATGTAGGTTTAATTAAAGTTCGAACAATATCCGTCCATCGATTGGCCTTTCGAAGCCAGATAATGAATACAACGGAACTAGAATTCTGCTCTAAATATTTTACAGCTAACGTATTTTTTTCCCGCTCTTCTGATATATTTCACTGATTCTGTAAATAAATTATTGGCGTATATTCAGTTGTTTATTCGAATATAGTTTGTTAATGCTTGAACGGAACTTCATTAAAATTTTACATTTTTAACATCCTTCCGAAATCAAATATTTATATAATCAATTTACAGACTCGAAGAAAAATCTTATACTAAAAAATGTTTGATTTTACTTTAAATTAATAATTTAATTAAAAATGTATTTTTAAAACACACACATTTCTTTCTTAATTAATTTAATCTTATGTTAAAAAGCATTTTAATATTATTTAAAAATAAAATAAGAATTAGAAAATATAGATTTTCTTGAAACAAAAAATAATTCATTTCTCGAAATATACATTCTCTTTTCAGTGTTCTGTATTCTATTTTTATACTAATTTCTCTTGTGTAACCAAAGTGTACCAATCACCTATTGAAGTACTATCATCAATATACGATGCTTAACTTTAATAAATGTCTAGTGTTTTGTATTATATAAAATTAAAACAATTCTAATACAAATTTTAATTGTTTTCATTATGACCACTTTCACCTAACTTCAACATACAACTTTCATAAATTACTGAAATATATAAATCCCAACTATTTACGATTGAATAACTGAAACAAAACAAAAATCAAACATTAATAAACACTTTGTGTTGTAAATAATAAAAAAACAACAATTTCAAATGTACATCAACGTTGAAAATGTATAAAATCCGAAATATGGGTAGTTTGCAGTTCCAATGATAATAACTTATGATGCAGTGGTTGGAACGATATTGCGCACAAGTAAGACAGTTTTAGTTCCAGTTTTATATTTTTAATGAGATTATTTACTTGCCCAGCAATTCGTTGTGCGGAGATCATAAAATTTTATAGAAAAATAGTATGAAGCATTATAAATATTTCAGGTCACGTTGAAATCGTTAATCGTCCGAATTGGCAATAAACCAAATAAATAAAAATCGTAACATTACACAGCTTCATTAAAATATGATGAAATATGATATGTAAATATACGAAGTTTATTGGCTTTTAAATAACAAATAAATATTGTTTATTGAAATCACAAATACGCTTTTAACACAATCTATTTTTATAGGAATTATAAATCATTTAAATTGATTAATTTAATATTAATGAAAACAATAACAATTTATATGCATTTTATATTATCTTTGCAAATTCTGTAATGAAATTTCAAAACTTTCATTAATGGAATTGTTTTATTATTATACTTATGTACTTTTGTTGGATTATTGAATAATGTTTAAAATAATTTAGTGACATGTTAGTACCGATGAATTATAAAGGACATTTGTTACCTAGAATGTGTTTAATAGTCGTAACTATAACTTAACGAAAGGATGCGTTAGCACTGATCTATACCAACATAAAAGTCCGAACGAAACTGTTAACACTCAATTTATTTGTTTCAGGTTTCACAAATTATTTGGGAAATAACAACGTGGATGCAAGAACATACATCTGCAAAAAAAAAATAAACACGAAAATCCAAACTAGAACAGAGCGATTTCGCTGGAATTGGTCGACGCTGAAATTGTCAGTCGAATGCAGTTTTCGATTAGCGATTAGATTGGTTTAAAACGAACCGAATTTGCAAATTATATTTCTATTAGGACATCGGAATTGTGGGCGAAACGGGAGCAGATGTTTTTGTAATTCAGGCCGTGTAATCTAAAGCTCCAAATCCAAATCCGCATCCGTTTATTTTTTATTTTCGTTTCCTTCGGTGGAAGAGAGAAAAGGTACAGCCGCATTTGCATACAGATGAATAACAACGGGACAACGATGTCTGACTACGAAAGGATCAGGCTCGTGATCCTCGGCGGAGCCGGCGTTGGGAAAAGCTGCATCATTAAACGCTTTCTAACTAACACCTACACGGACAAGTATCGCAGCACGATCGAGGATCTGTACAATAGGGAATACGATCTCGGTCATATGACCTTGAAAGTGGACATCCTGGATACGGCAGGAGACATGCAGTTTCCGGCGATGAGGAGGTTGTGCATCGCAACGGCCCACGCTTTTCTTTTAGTGTATGCCGTCACGTCTTCGCCGTCGTTCGATTGCATCAAGCAGTGCTTCGAGGAGATCAGAGAGCAGCGGGCCGACTTTCAGGAGATTCCCATTGTCGTCGCCGGAAACAAGCTGGATCTGACGTCAACACATCGAGAAGTTCGCATCGAAGATGTCTCCGAATGGGTTTTCTGTGAACTGCCCAAGTTAAGGTAAATCACATACACATACATATCACACCTAAATTATTCACGACAAAGAAACGATGATGATGCTCATTTTACGTAGATTCTTCGGGAGAATGTCTGCCAAAAAGTATGTCATTTAAATATGCAATTCTCTTGTGAATTTAAATAGAAATATATGATTTTGTGACCCGGCGTATCCACTGCTATTTTCAGAGAATACATTATATTAATATATGCTTTACATTCATTTCTCTCAAAGACGCAAAAGTTAGTTTAGATTTGAATAATATCTAAATAATTTATTATAACATCTACTTCAAAATAATATATACAAAATCATTGTAAGAATCAACAAAAATCAACTACCAATACTTGCATTTAGCTTAATGACGAATTACATTAATTTCTTCCCAAAAATACATTTTTACAAATAATTATAAAATGGAATAAAACAGATTCAATACTTCTGATGTACTATACTTTACGAGTAACTTGTAAACTTAATTCAAGTAATATGAGTATATTGCTATACATGTTACTTTACAAGTAGCTTCAAAAAGCTCCAACCTTATATAATAACTACATGCAATATTTTAAATCTTTTCAAAGAAGATTTTACAATTGAATAATATTGTAATAATATAATCGGTTACGCCAATAACCAGAACTGCTTGAAACTGGACTAATTGAGGGTAAACCGCACAAAAAGAGACATTTTTGTATAATGAGAAAAAATGATAATTTATGTATCTAAAACTATTAAGTCTACTATTTTTTAGAATTTATTTTGCACAATTAATATTTACTTTATTTTGAAATTTTCAACCCGATCTATATATAATTGATCAAATCTGGACTATACGAGGATGATGATATATGATATATATTCAATACAATGTAATCAAATTTAGTAAAAACATAACTTAATCATTGATTTTTTTACTGTCGAATTAAAATATACAACTATTTGATGAATATTGTAAATAAACTAAATGTTATATAATAGTTGAATATAATTTCTATAATTTGTTTTGTAAAGAAATTATACAATTTTAATTAATATGTTTTGATGATATTATACAATCAGTGAAATTTTAATTCTCAAATAAAATTAAATCTATATGGAAAATTCTAAAATTTGTTTAAAGTTTATTAAATCAAAACAAACTTTTATTAGTCTGGGATTTCAGCAAGTGATTACTTCTGTATTAAAAAAAGGGGAAGCTTCCAAGGAGAATGAATAAAAGAAAGAGATCAGCTAGATGAGAATGTCTAGAGTCTAGACTATACATAATTAACTTTATTTTATGGCATGTTTGATTATTTCACAAAAGAAGTAACGTAATAGAGAGGATAATTGATGTTCCCTGCAATAAATTCTAGGAGAAACCGGAAGGTAGTAAAGTTTGCAATTTTACATTGTAATGATATATGTAAGATGAGCGCCAAAGTTTTCGATGATAAAGACATAAAGGTGGGGAGATTGCTGTAATATAAGTTCAGTGGAACATTTGGGGTCTTTGACTTATTTGCTTGTAGCCAAACGAACATCAATAGTAAAATACAAAAAAATATGATATTTTTATTCGAGAACTTTAGACTTGTTTTTATTCAATTTGAGATAAAAAAATATGAAACATGCTTATTTTCATATTGAAATAAGTATAATGCGTCAATGTCACGTAATGAATCGAATATCTTTTTTTATTACTTACACATTTTATTCTTTCAATTAGTTTAATACCGGTTTTATCACTTTATTTTAGGACCCTGGAGTGACTACGTATATATTATATATGTCAAAATAGCGTGAAAGTATTATACCTCGTATAGTGCTGCTTTGATCAATCCGGATTCACTATAGTCCTGTTTGAGACATAAAAATAAACTAAATATTAATTAAACAAAATAAAAAATAAATTCTTAAAAAAATAGTATACAAATTTATCAATTAAAATGATCGGTATTTTTCATATTATATAGTTGAATTTTTTTTGTGCGATTTATTTTCATAATAATACTAATTGCAACAAAAAATTATAACATTAAAAAACTTAATACAAAAACTAAATTAACAAAAAATTAAATTAAATTCAAGTGCTGCAAAGGGATATTGACAATAGGTCTTTCTGCTCGGAATTATTTTATTTATATTTAGTTTCAAAACAATCAAATAAATTGGCAAAATTGATTTAAATATCATATTTTAATAACGATAATTTAGACTGTTATTATTCATTCTAATTAAAATTAATATTTTTTTATGATATTATACAATCAGTGAAATTTTAATTCTGAAATAAAATCTATATGGAAAATTCTAAAATCCTTACATACATATTCTGAAAGGTCACTATGTTTTTCTTCCTGTATGAAAAAGAGAGCTATAATTGAATTAAAAATCAGAGGCACAATTGAATTTCAAAAAAGTTCTTTGTGCAAAGAAAAAAAAATGCATTTTACTAATGAATCATTTTTACCGGATTCCCATTTTTTCTTAATAAGTGCCTGTAATAATAAAATTATGTAATTAATGGTGAAATAATGGAGAAACTAATAAACAATGCATTATCAAAACTGAAATAATAATGGTAATTGAATGGATTATAGGATGATAAATTTTGCTTTTAATTATATTATTTGCAAGCAATGATGTTGTAAGTTATTTGCCAATGTTTAATAATAATATTAATAATAAGAAAACAAAGCATCTCCCTTACACTTTTTGCTTTATTATGAAAATTCCAGGGTGAAGGTTCTGGAATGTTCGGCGAAAGACGACATCAATGTCAAGGAGATTTTCCGCACGTTCCTGACGCTCTCTAGGATATTCCCGAAGGATTCAGACGATTCGGGGGGCCTGAAGCGACGATCCAGCGCCTACGTGTCGGCAAGCAAAGGAGGCCGAAGGGCCGTCAGCCCTGCACCAGACAAAGACCGTTCCTTGGCCGAGGGCAGCAACTCGCAGCAGGAATCTAGGGCCAAGCCTAGGTCCAGGTCTCTGATCCGGAGGGCCAGCAGGAAGACCAAGCAGCAAATTCGGGATGCCCACAACGCCGTCGAGGAATGTACCGTATCCTAAACTTGACTCCTCAAACTCGCACAACCCTTCGTGTATATACGAAGGATGATACACACCACCCCTCCCCGAACATGTTTTAATTACGACAGCTATTGTTTCGATAATTGACACATAATGTGATAAATTAATGTTAGCACTTCGATATGTAACAAAAACACCGGATGGAAACGATCATTTTCTACTACTTTCGAAACGATTGTTCGTTCGTTCTTTCTTTGATACACAACGAGAGCTTTTACTTATCGAGTTTCTTCCTCATTCATCTACGGTTGAATTCACCCCCACACAAACATCCATTGAAGAGTCAATAAGAAAAAAAACAATTTTTTTTTTATTAAACCCAAACAATCTGATCAATTACTTATTAATTAAATACAAATAATAAATTATTTTATTAATGTTATAATGATATAGATAATTTATAGATTACATATATTTTTTTCTTCTTGGCTCTTCAACTGAAATCTCTTACGATATAAATCGGTTACACATTATTGATCCCCTTCCAAAAACTGAAGACATATGCAGAGCGAATCCATATCAGACCGTGCAAACGGTTACGTATTAGGATCATTATATAATAGCTTACTTCTGAATAGAAAGCGATTTTTGTCTTCTAGCGTAAGTATCTAATGGAATATCTTAATGTCTAATATCTTCAAAATATCTATAATTATTATATACAAATATTTAAAGTTCATTTAAACGTTGCACAAACGCATGAATAACAACTTCTACTTCTTAAAATTAATTTTGTTTGCTTGATTATAAAGTTTTTTTTCTAAACACTGAGACTATATAACAGAACAATTAGAATAAATATAAAATTCAATAAAAACATTATTTATTTAATATAATACGAGATTTCTACGTCGAGAAAATAAATCAACTCCTAAGAACTTTTGTTGTAGTCAGTGAAATATTTAGGTTTCTAATTATCTGAATATTATATAACAAAAGTCACAAATTTTAAAACTGTTGGAAAAATTTCATTCACAAAATTTATTAAATTCAATCAGTTTACAATTCCTTTCTCTTATTTCTTTATTTATTTACAGTTTTTAAATCCCTTATTTGGATCAATGGTCTTTTTCTACCCGGGAAAAACAATTTTATTTTATAAAATAATAATCAAATTAATATTCAATTTATATCTATTTGAGAACAATTAAAGAGGTTTATTTGGATAATAGGAACAGTAGAGATGAGCGTTCGGACATGAATAGGCATGTCGGGAAAGGGTTTTAACAAAGGGAAAGAAGTTAAAAATAAAGTTTAATTAGGTAGAATTAAAATTAACGAAAATTGTCTGTAAACGCAAAAAGATCTTGCTGCTTCCTCAAATGGCTAATTTCAGCATCAATAATGTGTAGATCCATCTTAGTGAGTGCGTTGGAAAAATGATTCTCCAGTAATGGGAAAAATATTGGGTGAGTTACAGAAAAATTGATGACAGGATGTTTTTCTACACTAATCCATTCTTCAGAGGGTTCTTTATTTTTTTAAGTGTAATAACTAAAAACTTTGAGAAACACTAGAGCACGATACGTTCTTGCTATTTTTCATAGGTTCTTTAGAACCGATACTATCCGCAAAATTTGAAATCATACCACGACCTTATATAACCATGAGATACGCGAAAAAATAGTCTTGGAGTTGTATGATTTCAGAATGAAGCCTGATTCCGTTTGAATGATCGAGTCCAAACGGTTGATTGGTTATTTTGACCATGTTAGATAATTATGATTTCGTAATCCTTGTATTTTTAATCGAATCTTATTTATCAGAAACCTTTTGTGGTGTCTTAAAAGTGTTCAAATCTTCTACCTGAAAAGATAGTCAGACTTCTTTTCTTTTAGGAATTATATTTTTTGAACAGAATGTAATTCATTTCTAAATCAAATAAAGTATAAAAATAGGCATGAAAATTTTTCCAAATTAAGACATTTTTTTAAAGTTAAAATTAAGATTGACTGGTAAGAAAATAAAGAGATTAAATAATAATTGAAAAAATAAATCAAATCTAAACTATTAAAATATATAAACAAATCAAAATTTAAATCAATTAGAAATGTTGAAAATTATTTATAAAACAAGCAATTTATTGTCTTATATTGCGTAAATATAACCGTAAACGTAAAAACTATTGCAGCATTTATCAAAATAAAGACTTTTTTATGGTTGTAAATGAAAAGTAAATCAGGATTCATGACTAGTAATCAAATTCGCCATTCCTTTTTTCCGCCCTTTAAGCCCTGTTAAGCTTGATTCCTTATCGATATTCGAGAGATAGAATTGCAATTCAGGCTCGATCGAGTGCAATGATGCAAACGTTTGAGTATTTGTTGAAAAGGACGAACTCAATCTGAAGTTGTTGATTTCAAATGCAAATGCGGCGTGTGCAACGTTTAAATACACAATATAAATATAGGAATAATTCGAATGTATCAGTAGCGCACACTATTTCTATATATAAACACCTAAAAGCACCTCTTCGTAATCGTGTTGTATTTTAATGGATGTGATTAAAGTTTAACCAAGTCTCGTGCGCATCCAGTGATGTGGACGACGCTCATCACTAGTATCATAACTGTGAGATTAGAGAAAGTATGTGAAACCATTTTTGATATTATTCATATTATTATTATTAAGGAGGAAACGTTTTTTTTTTAATGATTATTATAGGTTTAAAAAATATAAAAAGTGGAAACTGTATAGGAAAAAAAATGAATGATTAGTGTGTTTGCATTTAGGATAAACCGTCCTTTTTGTAAGGCTTATTGTAACTAGTTTCCCAACTAAAAATAAAAATAAATAAAAATTTAAAAAAAATAAAATGTAATTATTTTATGAGTGTAAGTGTAATAATTAATATGTATTTAATTAAGTATTTCTAAAGCCACGTGTGTGGAATAGGAAATAATTGCAAGTAACTAGTAGGAATTGATTTGCATGAGCTCATTGAATATAAATGTAATTAATTTTTAAGCAGGCTAAGATCGCCGAACTACAGTTGTTGTTTGATTTTGTTTTTTTTTTGGAATAATTTATACAAGTAAATATTTAGATTTGTATGTAGATATTTATTTTATTTATTTTTATTAGTTCTATCTTATGATTTTCACGTGGAACGAAACACCAGCTTTTAAGTATTGTACTAACTGTTAATTTAGGGCGTAGCAGTATTAACCACGTAAATGTAATTAAACGACATGGTTCAGTGGAACAAATTGGTATCGATATTTGGAACACATTTTTAACGATAAGAGAAAAGCATATAAGTATATTTCTATACCGGTTTATTGAATATAACAAGCACCATTCGTTCTCGATATTGTAAGCAAAACGGAATATAAAAATGTTAAAAAAATAATAACTGCACATCCTAGGATTAGCCTCTCACCGATATTGATACAACTTTTTTTACATTGAGATATTATATATTACGCCAATATTGTAATTGTTGAATTATGTTTATAAATATATATATATGTACATTAAGGAAATATTATATATTATTGATACTATATACTAATGGAAGATTAAACAAACAAATGAAATGAAAAAATGAAGACGCTTATATATTATAAACATTATGTAAAAAAAAAGTATATATAATATGTGGATAAAGAATGATATGATTATATATAAATATTTAGCAGGGTGCAAAAGAAAAAAAAACTATGAACCGACTGATGTTTGGTATTTCGTAATGTTTAAGGTAGTGTACTTGTTGAATATACTACTATACATATTAATTATAAAGTTGGAGCAAATGCGAATTCGTACGTGCATCTGCCACGTATGACGTCCATTTGTTGTGTAGTTTTGTAACGTCGTTAATGTAATTTCTGAGATGTTTTTTCGGAATGTAAAGGAAAGACGCTGAGTGATACAAAAAAAATAAATAAAACGAAGTTGTAAACTTGAGTGGTTTTGTACTTTTTTTCTATTTCCTTTCTGTACCGTTTCTCTAACAATTTTTATGCTTTGGTGAGTATAGCAAACTATATTTGATAAATTCAATTAGGAACTAAATTTTACACTAGATTTACATGATTTCATTATATAAAATACATTTTTTTTTATATAATATCATTTTTTTATAATAACATTAATTTAAAAGGGCTATTAAACATTACTATTTCTACACTTTAAGTGAATATAGTTTATTAAATGAGATATTTTTAGTAAATTTTCTAAGAGTCTTAGCTTATTTATACATAATTTTTGGTTAATTTTCATGAAATCTGTAAATGTAAAATTGGTGAGTTACGTAGACAATAGTAAGACTAAAGTTTGAATTGTTATAGACATAGAAATAAGTTCAAAAAATATAATATTTTAAGAAAGTAATGACACAACGAAAGAGTTGTAATAAAGTGTTACAAAATCTTTATGTTTCTACTCTAAAATAGTATAAAGGATTGAGCAGAGATTTGATAGGATATTGGAGTTACGTGAGAGCCCTTAACGTCTCGACTATCTTCAGTGCACAGTGGACAATAAATTATTGTTTTATTAAAGTACACAGCCGACATCAACACTTAAGTTAATTTATCAGAATTGACGTAAAGATGAAACTATTATTTAATGTTAATTTCCATTATTTTTCAAATATTTCATTCAAGGTCTAAATTATAGTCTTTTATATAAAACCAACAGCAGATTTTTTTAATATATCTTTGATTTCTGTAAAAATAAATCTTTTTAATTTTTTTTTGTCTGTAATTGTTTATGTAATTGTATGGTTGTTGAAAAAACATATATAAATTAATTTGACGGAATTCTTGGAAATCGGCTAGAGAATCACCCAAACCAACTGGCTATGGAGCTGATGCATACTACAGAGCATCGTCGAAGATTGAAGAGATTCAAACCACAAGATTTACCAAACCGATTTTAAATATTGATTATTAATGTGTGCAAGTGCATAAAAAATTATCGTATATGTGAAGTGGGGTTGCTGGATCTTCACTTCATTAATTATTATTATAGTGTCCTTTTTTAACTTAATTTACCACATTCATAAGGCTAGATATCAATGTCAGATGATAGATTGCTTTAAAAATAATAAAAAAAAAATTCTTGGACAAATTAATATAAATTAATTTAATAAATTAAAATTTAATTTGTTGAATAATCTTTGGAATCACACGTAATTAAATGCTTTTGTGACAATTAGAAATGTTAAGTGTCAAGTCTATCAAACATGAACCTTCGCTCAGGCAAACATTTAAACTAGGTTTCTCATCTTCTATAATGGACTGGAAACTCTCTTTGATTAAAGATTTAGAAATCTTCGTCAACGCCGGATGGAATGACATGCCGGCAATGTGATGTAGGTTAGGCTTTTGTATTGTTATTGATTACTACAGTGTATTTGTAAATTAATTAAATTGTAATACTACCTCTGAAATGAATGATTCAAACACATTTTTACACGGTAAGGAGTTTCAGATAAATTAACTTGAATTAAAAACACACGAACCACATGATCAGAACTATGGTGAAAGAAAACTCAAACAAGCGGAGTCCAAACGATCATTTAAACAGAATCAGGCTTTATTCCAAAATCAAACAACCCCAAGACCATTTTTCTGGCATATTATATTTGAAGCTTTGCAGAACAGCAATTTACAGAAAACAACCACAACGTAGTATTCTCTTGTATACAAACTAATATGGATTAAGATATCATTGACGCTGAAACTATCCTTAAGTAATCAATCACTGATTCTTCAGAAATGTGACCGATCAGCTAACCTTTAAAGTCAGTATAAAATTTGGATGCGCGGTCTCCTTCCAGATAATCTTGTACGAGTGCTTGTTCTAAAGAAAATAACATTCTCCGACAAAATTATGTTAAAATGTTAACATAATATTGTTGGGATATTTATGTTTAAACTAAATAGTTTACAATTTACATTTATATTGATAATTAAAACAATCAAGTTTAATTAAATCTTATACATAAAATTAGAAATGTAAATTTCTTCTCCTCTCTTACTACAAAAAAAAATATATTATTTATTTAACTCTCTGGCAACTAATATTTGTTAACTAAATAATTTAATTTGTTAATAAACAAAAATGTAATTCTTTGAAATTGTAATCCACAATATTTTATACAATAAATGTTGGAGATATTTACTTAAATGTTCGAGTCTCTTATGAGATTAGATCTTCCAGAAATAGGTACTGGTATACACGATAGTTACTGGCATCTGTTGCAATGAGCATTTCGTAATAACGTCTCATTGGTATAGTTTGAGTGTTTGCGTCGTTACATAATTGTATACCATTTGCCAAATAGACCTGCATCTTTCTTTTATATAAACAATAAAAATATAAAATTGTTGATTTTCATATATTTCTTCAATTGAATATAATATACATGGCATATATCATCGGTTTATAAGTGGTTGTATTCTCAGAAAAATATGCATGAACTTTCACACAAATCACTGTTTTGATACTTATATTTCCTAATATAAACTATATTTTGAATTTATTTCAGGTATAGTGATATTTTTAAATTTATTATATTATTCATTTGATGTTTTTCTTACTAAAAAAGAACTTTAACTTCTCCTTAAATATTATAACGAATATCATTATTTTATTCTTTATCATTTTTTAACGTAGTTTATAACTTTGTTTAGTAAAACTCTAGAACTTGTATTTAATTAGTTTAAGGACTCTCATCAAACCACGCGATAACAAGCTCGGGTCGATGGTTTGGAGGATGTAGCCACATGGGATTACATTCTGCAAATAAAATGATTTGACGCATCCCCATGAAACCCAATCCGCACCGGTCCAAACTCTTAGCATCTACAAAATTAACATGAATTTAGATTATTTCCCACATTTCTGTATACTAATTAAGTACAGTATGTCAAGGTATTTAATTAAACTTATTTTTCATGTTAATAAACATATGAATTGTATGAATGATTTGTCGGATATAAATAAAAAACGTAGCTGATGTAAATTACGTATTCACTGAACTAATCGGAAGTATGATTAATCAGGCTGTAATCCTCTAAAACCAGACAATCGATTTCGATTTTGTGGTGCACTCAGTTTAAGTGATGCGCATGTAAATTGGTCGCATTCCTCTAGTTGTTGAAGCGTTGCATCGATGAAGCAATAGAAAAATAAATAGATTCAATTTGTAATCAACTTTTTTTATTCGTTTTTAATAAACTTTTATTTGTTTCTTATACATTTTGTTTACACTTGGCAGTACAATGAAATTCATTTATATGGCACATCGATTAATATTAATCCTGAGCTCTTTTCGATAACAATTTCTCTTTACTAATTTGGTGATTCTGATTCGAGGAAGCTTTCTTACACGTGCTTTCCTATACAAAAAAAATAGGTCTATTTTTGGCATGTTTATAATCTCCTTCAAGGCGAATACCATGAAGGCATCCACTTCTGCTCCCTATGCAACGAATTACTAAGGAAATGCTCATTCTCGCAATTATTATTTATATCGTCCTCCAAAATGTAGAAAGCGTCTTCAGATTCCTGCTTATTCCACTTCTTTCTTTCCACCTGCTGAGCGTACACCTTCCTCGTGGGAATCGGAGAAGTGCACGGAGTGTAAGCGAGATCTTCCACGCGAATGGATTCAGTAAACCGAGATCCCGTCCTGTTATTCCTCTTTTCCTCCTTCGGTTTATATTTTGATGGACTCTTTGATTTAGTCCTGACTCGAGGACTCGGACTTCTGCTTGCTTTGGGAATTTTCGGACCAAAGAGTTGACCTTCGATAGTTTTCAAACGGCTCGACTTTGAACCGGAATCCGATTCAGAAGTCGTCGATTGAGGTTTCCTGATTGGAATCTGCGATTTGATGATGCGCTTATGCGGCTTAGAAGAGCTAAAAATTTGATTTAAACAAATTGTTTAGTGGACAATGCGTTTAAGCACAAAGCCCTCCTACCTTCGGGATCCTGGAATGTATGAAAAAGCTGTAAGCTAGAGATAGTGTGCAGTGCAACTTACTCTTCGGATATTGGAGTCGGAGTGCTTGAGGATTGCGCTAAAACATCGACGGCGCGTTTATTTTGCGTTAGATTATCCATAGGACGAGGTTTTCTATCAACGCGTTCACGAATTAAATAATCTTTGTAGGCTTTCCTATATTCCGGCTGACACTCAAAATTTCCTTCAAGTTTTAGCTTTGATTCGCGTTTTAAAGAGTCCTGTTTTTGGTAATTCGGATATTCGATGTACTGCGATTTCTTTTCACTTACATGATCCATCTTAAAATAGAGTTACTAACAAAATATAGATTATTAATATGAACTTACATTTCCTTCGCTTGATATGTTCCCTCCGGGTTTAATTATCGTTGGCCTAGACCTAGGAAAATCCACGTAAGATCTCTTATATTCAGGATAATGTTCAACGGGACTCTCCGATTTTAAATTAATCGTTTGAGAATGTGTCCTTCTCCTTCGTGAAGGTGATGCGAAATTCCCGTCTTTGTAATAATCCACATATGCGTTCTTGTATTCGGGATTCATATCGATCCTTCCCTCCAAATGAATATTGTGTTGCATTTTCTGTTTCTCTACTTTAGTCACAGGCCTTTCCACGTATTCGCCTTTATTTTCCGAGATTCCCTCGAAATTACCTTCTGATTTCAAATTGGAAGTGCGTCTCAAAGGAGCTGTCTTTTCCATAGCATGTTGCACATATTTGTCTCTGTATTCCGCATTTCTTATTGGTTTATCATCGCCTAGCAATAATTTTCGGTTGAAATCGGATCCACGCAAGAACGGTATAGGTCGAATTTCGTGTCCAACAAATTTGGTTTTATTTTCAGTTGATGAATCAAAGAATCCATCTACTGTTAAATTGTGCTGAGGTACTGACGGCGACCTCCTTTCCGATTTAATCTCAACGAAAGCATTCCTGTATTCCGGATTCATCTCCAAATCTCCTTCTAAATTAAGATTTGTACCTCTTTTCATCAGCGCCGGACGCTTCTCATACGTGTAAGTAACGTAGTTCTCATTGTTTTCCGTCATCGTTTCCATGTCACCTTCGAGGTGTAAATTTGTGAATTTTCGACAAAGAGGTGGCCTCGATTGGTATTCGTATGGTCGGAATTGGGCTCCCATTTCCGAATTGGTTTGCATCTCTCCTTCCATCTTCAAATTGTTATCATGCTTCTTCAAAGTCCTCCGTTCCGCAAGAAGATATTCGATAAATTGTTCCGCCTTTTCAGTGGTTGATAGTAAATCTCCTTCCAATTTCAAAATCGTCGGACGTCGCAGTGGTAACGTTCTACTCCAGTTGTCCCAGCGTTTGAACTGGGCCCTATTCTCTGTCCTGGAAACGGAATAAAATCACTAGACTTTACGTGACGCGACTCGTTTGAAAGTTGGACTACTTCTAAACAACTCCTCGCATTTGCATTTGCTTATAACTTAAAGTATCCTTAAAGGGGTGGCTTTATTAGGATTTATGGCGAATCGATAAAACCCAAAAAAAGAATACACGGGTTTCACTTTCTTTGATGTTTTTTCCTTACCTATACTCCTCATTATGCAAGGCCATATCAGCATCGTCAATTAACCGGAAAGCACTGCGTTTCCGCCTCCGCCCTCTTACATTTTCCAAAGGAAACTCGACAAATGATTCTGTGTATTCAGGATTTATGTGCAAGGCCCCCTCGATTTTCAAGGAATCCTCGGGTTTCTCGCTGCGAATCGGAGAAATATCCTTAAAAAAATAACACAAGCTAAAATTAATAAATTTATTTTTTTTAGGGTTTCTGAAGGACTTTAGAGTTGTAAGCCAAATCGCCGTCGGAGCCGGTGAAGTAGTAGTTCTTGTATCTCCTCGTGTACTCCGATTTGATGTTGGCAAACTTTCCCTCCTCCAGCTGCAGATGATCCTGCGGTTTGTTGAGGAACCTTCTTCTTCGGAACTGTTTCAACTTGTCCACGGAAAATCCCGGCGGAAAGCCGGAATCCCACAGCCTCCGCTCGGCCGTCGTGAGATCCGGTTCGGAAGAGAAATCACCCCTAAAACGATGATGAGAAACAAAAAAAAGAACGGCACTTAACCAAATTAAATATTGCATTAATCCAATTATCTCAAAGCCGCATTGATTATAGGCCAAGAACATCAATCAAAACCACGAGATTCTGACATTACACGGAATCGGGGCCACGGTTATAAACTTCATCAAGTAAATAGGAATGGCAATCAATACCAGACGCGCAACCCTCAATTTTTAAGAAAAGCGACTCACACACAAATTAGATTGAAAAATTGTACAAATTACACGATTATTTCCACGCTGGTGCATATGCACCACGGTCTAGATTCCAATCGGGATTATTATAAAATCTGCATGCAACATTTACACGCTTTAATTATAAACGCGTTTTAATCTTTTAACCCTGTCGCATTTTCCATTGAATTTATTTGCCGTTTACTTTTCTATTTTTCTTTCTGTTTTCCTCTTTTTATGGCGGTGCCGGATAGTGAAAGGCAGATACATTTTTTTATGTTTCATTATATACATTTTTTTATACCGCATTCCCGATGTTGCATGTCGTATCCATTAAACGGGATTCGCATCAGCTTGGTACTAATAGCGTAATAGGCGAGCTTAATGCTCTTTGCGAGCAACGAAAACCGCATTAAAAAGTTTCACATAAAATTTGCGATCACCTAATTCCAAACCCCTCCATCCCACAGCACGACTTTCCACAATTACTAAATTGCGCGTGCATCGCGTAATCCAAAGGAAATCCAATAAATGTATGTATGATTCGCGAATTCCGTATAACGGCATTCGCAAAATAACAAATAATGATGATTGTCTATTTATACAGAGGTGATTCCGATTCTAATTTATATAATGTTCGTGTATTATGCACGAATGATTCGATCATAAATTGGATTGGTTCAAAGTTATTGGTAATCATGTGTAATTTCATGAATGGTTATGCTATTATTAAACGTTTATAAGTGAACTTAAATTATTTATGTAATTGATAAACTAAAAATGTATGTTTTACTGTTAATTATGTGCCAAATGATCTCTCAAAAATAATGTACTTTCTATATAAACTAAGCTCATTTATTCCACAAGAAATTCTCCACACATTACTTGTCAATCCCAGGATTACATTCCAAGAAAATTCCAAGATTTGTATTTTCCGTTGTCCCGGGAAATAAATCAAAAAAAAAAACATCGAAAAATGTTTGATGAAGATCATTTTCATACCAATGGAAAATGATAATACTACTTTCCTCTAATATAATAAATGAAGAATAAAATCAATAACTAGTTTGCAAACCTAACTAGTTATTGATTTTATTCATAATTCAAGTATTTTATTCAATACATATTACCCATTATTTCTCAATAATCGTAGCTAATTTAGTACAAAGATGAATGTCTTCCACTTAAAAAAGGCTGTGGCTAGTTGCTAAACTCTTCAATTACTAGATTTTTTTTAATTTTACCAGAATTTGAGTCTTAAAAATTGTTATGAAATTTTATATAACATATAACAGCTTTTTTTAAATTTTCATAACAAAAATGTGTAAAAGCATACATAATTTATATCAAGGTTCAATAATCTATCTAGATACTGAAATATATGTGAAGGTCTATGAACTTTGGTACTATATTTATTATTTATAGTCTATTAACATACATGGCGAGTTATTTTTAAACCCAATTTCTTAGCAGTTCCACTTATTTCCTCTGGTTTATCAATTGAATCAGGAACGCTCGTTTTTCAAGTGAAATCAATAGCTATTTCTTTACCAACGTTTCGCAACGATTTAAATATATTTGTCACAATATATCATGTTAAAAGAATATAATGACCTATTTCTATACGTTTTACCATATTTTTACGTGATTATATTCATAATTTGGCTATGTATCATAATAATCTATAAAAAAAACAAATCAAAGTCATTTTGATTTTCAAACAGAAAAGTAACAAAATATAATGTTTAACTTGGTTTAATATATTAATGACTTTAGACTATTTGAATTTCTATTAGTCAATTAACGTTACCTTTGATATCAATGTCCGCAATTTCAAGCACTATTTAACATAAAAAAAATCCAATTTAATGCCTATTCTCCACAAATCTTTCAGTGGAAGATTAATAAAACCGTGTTATTATTAAGCGATCAGTGTTAAATGCAATAACTCCATTAAATTAAAGAAAAAAAAACAAGTACAAACTACTAAACTTTTTTTTTCATTTTCTGGACTTATATTTAACACGGTAATTTGTATATAAAAATATGAAAAAAGAACCAAAATTTTCATTTAAGATTAAAGATTATGTCATCTGTTTGGAAGTTCATATACATCACTGTCAAATTTTCATATTAATTTATGGAATACTAAGTTGATGTTAAAAACCACATTAAGTAGGACGAAGTTATTCTAATTATATGCACATGAACTCATTTTTATTCATAATAATCAGACAATTATCATTGTTTTAGAAAATTTGAATAAACAAAAGCTTTTATAAAACACACTGGCAATAAATAATCTTGTAGTCCAGTGTTTCTCAAACTTTTTGGTGCGCGATCCTTAATAAGTTTATGTGTAGGAAAACGTAGAAAAACATACCGTCCCGTCTCTCATTACTTTTTCTTGGAGAACCACTATTATAGTCGATAATAATGTAGGATATAAAACTTCTAATAAAAATATATTAACAAAAAAAAGGTATATGTTTAACCTTGTAATAATAATAACAAAAGCAGAATTTGTTGTCAATCCACATCACGCTATACAATAACATATTTATATTATTTTTAGTGTAGGTGTATCCACGCTACTTGTTATGTTGAGTACATAACAGACAAATAATAAATTATTGTAATGATGATGGATATTGAATGTTAACCACAGTAGATTCTGAGTTCAAATTATTCTTATAACGTTAACCTTACACTAGTCACGAACTTTTTCCTTAACCTTCATTGTAATAATATTATATGTGATTAGTGGAATCTTATATCAATTTTATATAAAAGCAATCCTTTTAGTACCTTAACATAAGCTTTCACACAATGGAGTTTTTCATACATTATTAATCACTTAATGGTGTTTTAAACCAAGAAAAAAAGATCTTTTGTGAACTTTTATTAAGTAAAATAAATAGATAGGACAGTTTATAATTAAAATAGGTTTTGTAATTTTATTAAAAAAAAAATCCGCTCATTTCAAATTTCTTAAAGAAAAATGTTTCAACATTATTTACTAATATTAATCTGACGTTTATAATGAATTAATACTTAATTTTACTACTTTGTAAAAGCGCTTACAAAACATTATACAAAAGTACTATAAAAATCATTTTCGCTTCAAAAGTAAATAGTAAATACATATCGTATAATCTTTCATTATTTCTTCTTAACACTTAATGTACTTTATAATATAAAAGGATAATTAGTGGTTATAGCAATTATATTATATTATTATAGCACTTGCATTTAAAATTATCTAACATTACATGTTAATTGTATACTTGATTGATTAAAAAAACGGCTACAAAATACAGATACAATTTTACATGCAACAAAGATATTTTTTATCATTTAATTTATGTAAACATTTCCATGGTGGTTATATGGGCTTTGTTATATCAAGAGTTTTAAACCAAATACTCAGAAATATATTATGTATGTGGCTTCTCCCAGACGATAATACAAAAAAGTGGTACCCATACATCAAGTGAATCTTTCATCCATTTTTTACGCAACCAGCAAAAAAAAATTATATAATCTCGCCCTGCTTTATGAAAACGAATTTGTCGTAAATGCTTTCTTTGAAACATTGCTAGAAAAAAAGCTACATAAAACAAATTGTACTAATTTTATTTATTAGTTTATTAATGAAATTTTAGTTATGTTCTGTCAGAAAAATGCGTTAGTAAAGTATAAATTACATTTTTTTTAATATTTCATGAATGAAGTTATCGTATATTTAACATCGATAAGACACTGTTCTATTCAACAGGTTTTTGATGTGTAAAACATGAATTTATTGATTGTTGTATTCACATCAGATTGGAGATTGTAATCCATATCATTAGCAGTTTGGTATTCTTTTCACTTGTTGATAGGGATTTTATTTAAAAATTAACTGATTAAATGAATCTATTATAGTCGCAACTATGTTAATAATTAAGTGGTTGTTGTAAATTATAGTCAACTTTAATTACAAGATATTATAATTTTATTTATAAAAATACATTAAATATGCTAATTGTTTTAATATTCTGGAAATACAGTGGAACCTCGCTTAATCAGCAAAATGAATTGTAAAAAAAGAGAAGTCCTGGATTGAGCGTCTGTTACATCATTTTGTAAACTTATGTACACATATTATGTGTATTTTTGAATATGTTTCACTATACGAGTAAAAAGCCGGAAATTTTGGAACGGATTAAACTCGTTAAACGTGGTTCTACTGTATACGAAACATTAAGAAGAAAAGTAAGTTTTCTCAATATATATAACTGAATTATAATTAGAACAATATTTCTATATAAAATTTCTAAGCAAAATATGAAATAATTCTAAACGATAAGTAAGTTCTTGGAGGTGAACATTAGAGTTAAATGTATTTAAGTGTAAATCGCTTTAAAGTGAACATTTGTATATGTTTGTGTCTATTTTTGCATTGTATGAAAGAATTTGAGGTAATAATATAAAATAATACAACTTCAATTATAATTCATACGTAACTATTGAATTGAATTCAAATTAATAAATGATTATTATATTTTAATCGAAGAATTGTTTGCTTAACTAAAAAATAGTAAGTTATATTTTGAAAATATAAATGAAGATATTCCGTGCTTTTCTATTTTAATAAACAGATCAAAGCATGTTCGAAAGTTATCTTTTAAATAATTTCTGAAATAAAAAAAATTGTTGTGTAATATTCTCAGAAAACGCGACATGAAAATGTTGTTATTTTCAAACACAACGTTCACGGAATTAATTAATAAGTATAATAATGTAATTAATAATTATACAACACGCAAAGTACTATATTTTATTATTGTTTATGAAAAATATTTTATTATATTACTTTATTAATAGACCGCAATGTAAAATAATTACAGTAAATATTGCAAATTGTTCGAATTGGGTAATTCCGAAAATAATTTCGTATTTTTAAGTTAATTGAAATACATAATTTTCGTTTAAAAAATAAACTTGCATCATTGATTGATAAAAATCAATCAATGATGCATGTTTTAATAGATAGTTTCAAAATTTCATACTCCCAATCTGAAACTCCACAAGGTACGTTTTGAAAACCACAAAAGAACTTTTTTTTTCAGAACATTTATCAAAAATCATATTAAAACTGGAACATTTTCATTGCGCTTGAACAATAAATTGTAAATGAGGATGCAGTCTATTAAATTTTCGTATAATCACACAAATATCGTATAGAGGCACGTAGCGAATCCTATGCAAAATGTTTACCTTTTGGGATACGTTGATTATCTCTCTTGTCGTAGAACGTAGGATAAATTCAATTAACGTCTTAATCTGGTCATCATCAACTATCAGACCGTTGCCTGTACAGATTTTGTTCGAAAATACTGTTTGTTTTGGTCCATATTAACAATAAAATACGAAATTACTTTCGGAACAACCCAACAGATTGTTTGTAAGAATGACATGTTTTAAAATTTAATGAGTTTGTGATCAATTGCCAATGGAAATCTTATTACAAATATTAATGATGGTACAGTTTTCACAAGATAGTTGATAATAGATATATACATATCAATATTGTTATAAAATTGTATATGAGTGTTCTAATATAGGATAATATTCTAGTATATTTAACAGAAATATCAATATACTAGTACTACTTATTTATTATGTGCCACGTGTATTTAGTACTACTATACAATAATAATGAGTCAAATTGTTTGAAAGTGCAATACAAAGGTGTAACGTATTTGAATATTTCAATATTGAATATGTGGTCTTAAAATAAAGTAAATTGAAGAGTCATTAAACCAATCTGGGGAGGAATGCGAAATTAATATTTAAAAAAAAGTATGCAAACTCGCATATTAATCCAAACAAACAGCGAACAAAAAAATTAGAAATTTCATCAAGATAGAAGCCATCGTTGCATTTTAATTAATTTATGTGCAACAAATTAAATGCCGAGTTAAATTTAGCCCTACCAACAGAGTACCATTTAAAATACAAATTAACCTGAAGCAAAAATAAATTCCATACACTTTGTTTCCAATCTAAAACTGTTGTTTGTACGTACCGTTTACATAGCGATCTTTGATCTCCGCATTCGGGCAATAAATTTCGCAATAAACTTTCAACCTAAAGCCAAAGATAACAACTGCACCGCTTTGATTTCTGCGTGAAACACATGAATCGCATGTGTCGATCTCGATGGAAAGAACAAACAGTAGTGCCAGGTACGAGATTCCCGAAATCGATTCGAAAATCGCGAACAGTGCAAGTAAAAGAAGAATAACAGGAGCAAGAATAAGTTTCCAACCGCGATTCGTTTGTTTTACTCAACCCTGGGGGTGGCGTGACCGATTTGAAAAATCTACCCCTCGTATAACATTGCCACAATCTGATGAAGTCTCCGGTGACTTCGCGAACGTCACGATGACCCCCTGACCCAAATAAAAGGAACACAAGCTAGTTAAAATGTTAAGGAAAAAAAGCGTGATGTTTTTCGGGGGGGCTTACGTTTGATGCTGTGTACGATCACTTTGAGCTTACGCATTATGTTTAGTGAGTCAAGGGCGTAGACTAAATATCGCTGACCCCAATCTGCAGATTTTACTTTTACCACGCGAACTTCATTCATAATAATCACGGCTCGTTTTTTTTGTTGGATTCCGTTTGTGCTACTTCACAAATTGTCTGCGTTTATTAAATATTTTTTCTTCTTCTTTTGTAGGTAGTCAGGCGAATCCGTGGAGGAAAAACCCCGCAAACGCCACAAGTATAATTTATGGATCATAGTTTGAATTTCAAATTAGCTCATTTTTTCTGTACAGTTTAAAGACCCTCATGCAAATAGCATTCAATAAATTGAAATTAATTGCGTTCATTGTTTAGTTACATTATTCACAAAGCTAATCATTTCTGGGAAGGCCTGTCCATACGTTGAGTTTCATTTCCTAACGAGGAACTGTAATATTCTGAATAAAAAAAAAGTTATTCATGACGAATTGTGTATGTCATTAAATAATGATTTGATTGTGTTTAGATAAAAAGAAAACTTACTGTGAAGTATTTTCCTTGTTCATGTTTAACGGAGAGCTTTCGGACACGTGGGTTTTTACCGTGGCTGACCGCAACGCGTTGTATTAATCGACTGTTTTAGCAGACTGTAAACTTTTGTGAGTTTATATTGCGCTGGTCACGAAATGTATGTGTACATCGCGATGTGCGTAGCTACCTTACAAACACTTTCGATTTTGGCGCCGAAGGGGGAAGAATCGAGGCCGAAAGGCCACAAGACATGGAAAACTTTCAGCACGAACGAAAACAACCCTCCCCAAAAAAAACTTTTACTGTTGCAATTTGCTTTATTGAAAGCCCTTGGTAAAAATTAGAACGCCAACGACGCAGCCAACTCCGAATTTAGCTTACTTGGCCTGGTTTTCTCGCTTTCTTCGACTTTGCAAGCCTCTCCGTAAAGCTTGATCAACAGATGGATCAAAGAGTCGTAGGCGTTCGCTGGTAGCGTGTGTCTTAGGCAGTTCATGAGATGCTCAGGATCGGCGCAAACGGAGATGGCTCTCGCGAAGTGAATGATTGCCTCATCCAGTTTGTCCTGAACCATCAGCTTCTCGGCCATCTGAATTTCCTTAATGATTACAGCTTCTCTGTACCGAGGATCTATGTTCCTAGGTGTAATCTCGTAATGCGGTAGATGCTGCTTCTTCAGCTTCTGTCTGCGTTCCTTCAGTCGCCTACGGAAGCTTGGGTCCTGATGCCTCCTTCTATCCAAATATAAGCAGAACGCTAACAAAGAAGTCCCGCATAGTATTGTTACGTAGCCGATCACGCTCATCTGCATCTTCAGATCAATTTTATCCTCTTCTTTACATTCAAACGAAAGTGACAAAAAAAATGTATGAGGTTTATGCAACTGACAACGTAAAATTTCACACACACACAATCATATCTTCAGTTGCTAAGACACAAATAATAATAGGTACAAACAGATAAAATAAAAGAAAGACACATTAATCCAAATAATTCTGTCACTCAATATGTTATTTCATGAAAATAAAAGCAAAGACACAAACCGATCATTTAATTTGACGTTTTAATGTAATTAATTACTAAATTTACTTTAATTAACAAACCTAATTACTAATGCAGATTACGTTCAATAAGCTTCAAGTTAATTGTGTTTACTCTAATGGTTCATTGATTATTCAGCGGCAAAACGACGTATGGACAAAAAAACTTAACCTGCTGCGTATTTACCACGTCCTTCGTCCAATATTTTATTATTTCCTGAAAGTGTATTAATATATTTTGAATGGAAAGCAGTCATATTGTAACCTGTCAATTATTCCTTGTATTACAAAAATACATCAATTTTATCCAATGAGAATTATAAATATTGAAATTATTGAAAACATTAATACCTTCACCACAATGATATCATAATGTATTTTTCTAATGTTTTTCTAGTTTTAAAACTATAACTAATTTCACAAATTTTCATGAAAGGATAACTGTAAGTCTGATTTGGTAAAACAATAATACAAAGTTTCTTGTCTATATAAATCAAGAAAGCTTTTTCCGCTCGGGAACATAAATATATATATATGAAAAACAAAGGAATGAGAAAAAAAAAGCAGCGGTGAAGGAACAAGAGGGTATCAATCGAGGGATATTAGGTATTGGAAGAGGGATAATCTGGGATATTTAAATTTGGAAAGGATATTTGGGTTTCGATGAGCACATAATTCAGAGAGGGAGGCGATGTTTGGCTTTAAATTTCAAGGAGAAGAAATGTTTTCGGTCAAAGAGAGGCATATCTCACACATTAAAATGAAACATCACAAAAATTACTCGTATCGTTTTTTAATCAACATACTTTCAAATAAATGTTTATACTACAGTTATCATGAAATGCAGGATAGATACGACACCCGCGTTTAACCGACTTCCAATGTATTATAATATCCACAACTTAATTTAATTGTATGTATTGTAGTTAAAATATAGTTTATTAATAAAATGTATTTGAAATACTCAATTTTATAGAAGAATTTATAACATTCATTACATGTTAAAATTGTTTTTTTGACTCTGTTTAATGCTTATCAACCTTCAAACCCTTTAAATTTAAACTTAGTTCTTAAGGTTATTTTCATAGATTATGCAACTTAATTTACTGACATTTTCATATGTATAATTATCAAATATGTACTTTAATTTATTAATGGAGTTTCACTATTGTTTAAATAATTCGTTACGGATGCAAGCATATAATTACAATCCTAATCTTATAGGATTCATAATTATAAAATTATGCAACCAAAGAAGCACGTTATGACATCCGTTCTGTTTTTTTTCGTTCAAAATCAGCTGATTGTAGCTGATCCCGAAACAATGTCCTGTATAGAATAGAATCTGTTTTTGTTTTTACCATGAATAAAAATCTGAAGTCCCCAACGAAGTTAACTGAATTTGCTCCCCTGCAGGCAGAAGAGAAACAGGCCAAAGTTGGACAATTTTTCTCCAAGTTCTTCAAACGGGCAACAGCCACTGTAGAGACTGTAAGCAATCCAGAAACAAACGCAGACAATGTATCTCAGGAAGCCTTGCCTTCTTGGGCTATTGACAAGGAGGCAGAACCACATCAAGAAACTGTTGTGTATAATGTTGATGTGACAGATGGAAGGAGCCTACCGAATGTCTTGAAAAGGATCATCAACTTGCTGGCAATGAAAAGTAATGTGAGTGGAGGGAGTTTTCTTGTTGCCATCATAATTTGATGTTCTTTAAACTGTTTCATTTTAGAATTTGCAAGCCTACTCAGATTCAGATCTTAAACAATATTGGATGCCTGATAGTGTGAGCAAAGAATGTTATGAGTGCTGTGAAAAATTTACAACATTCCGCAGGAGACACCACTGTCGGGTTTGTGGTCAGATATTTTGTTCTTCTTGCTGCAATCAACAAATTCCAGGAAAAATTTTTGGTTGCACAGGTAATTTAAAAATATATATTATTACCACTTAACTATTTTCTTTTTTAATTGTTTTGATTGTAGGGGATTTGAGAGTATGTACTTACTGTTGTAAAGTAGTATTGTCATACCTAAAGTCCTCTGATATAAGTTCAGATTTGAATAGTGATTTAAAGGTGCTTCAAGAGAGTTTAAGGGGCAGATGTTCTAGTACTTCATTAAACCAAAATTTATTATCACCTAATGCAAATTCAGTGAAGTCAATAGAAGCAGGTGGTACTTTAAAGAGAAAGATCTCTGTTGGGTATCAAGAAGAGAAGTTTGCTGCTGGAAGGTGAGATAAATGTAATTATATTAGTGCTTAAGATAATGTTCCTTGTTTATAGATCATCTGTAAGTTACTTATCTAGTGAAGAAAAACTCAGGGCTCTGCAGAACTCCACATCACTTCGAAATTTGTATGAAGAAATTTCTAAACCCAACTCGGGAATTGAATTCACTTCACGCCGATACCGTTTGAGGAATTACAACGATTGCCTCATGGGTTCGGAATTGGTCGATTGGCTGATCCGTCAACAGAAGGCAAATTCGAGGTAGTTTTTGGATATGAGCGTTCAATTTGTTACATAATCATATGATATTTAAGGATACAAGCTTCCGCACTTTGCCAAGCTCTTCTTGATGGTGGATACATGGTTTGCATCTCTGAACCTTGTACGTTTATAGACGGAATGTCTTTGTACAAATTGGGAGTCGTCTCGTCGCCGGAGGTGATACAATCGGAACAAACATTTGAAGCCACTAATCAGGATGAACCCAGTTGGGTGCAATATGTTCCACACGAAACCAGTACAAATGGTAAACAAAATATCTTACAATATCAGTTCAACTTACATGTACTTAACTTAAGTGCGACGCCTTTCTTAATCAATATCAGTAAACAAAGCATAGTCTGAATTTTATATATAGATATATAGGTCTGTAAATAAATGACCAAAATCTACTTATTACGAAAGTCAAACAGGATGATATTTCAGTTTATTTCGGTTGTGTAATACGTTCGAAAAATGCTTCAGCGCAAAAAGTTTTTATTTTTTTTTACAAAAAGAAGTAAATTATTATTTTGTTACATTTAATTTTTCAATATATTCAATTAAGTGAAAGTGTTATTTTTAGATTCCGAAAATGAGCAACTTTCACCAAAGAACCTACAACTCACTTCATCTTCTTCTTATACTTTAGATTTAAATGTAGGAGCCAACACTGTTTATCTCTCGAGACCTCCGATTTCTTCGGGAAGCATTGATGAGAGCGATGCGGATCTGCAGAAGTGCCAAATCGCTTGCAATGATACGACCATGGTGAGGACCTCGGAACAGAGAGAGTTTGTACCTGAATCAGGTAAATTTAACTTTAATTCGTTGATGCGTTTTCCCATTAACGAATTCTGTAGGATGGCACAATGTAACGTTGTTGAGGGAGGAAAATGGAGAGAAGGCGGCTTATGAAGTTTTATCAAACGCATTCTCTCAACACGAATCTTCTCTATGCAAACAGTTGCTGAGTGTGAATGGATTATCTTTAACATGGAGCGAATATATTTTACCGTTAGTTCGAGAAATAGTGGATGTTATCCGTCCAGGTATTTACTTTTAATAATTACAAGCAAAGTAAAGTTATTATTAATATTATTATTTAGACGTAAACCATGACGCTGAAGAATTAGATATAAGACAATACGTTAAGTTTAAAGTTGTTAGTGGTGGACATCGCAGTAACTGTGAACTGGTGCGTGGAATAGTTTGCAGTAAAAATGTGGTACATAAAGCTATGTCCGTCAAATTGGAAAACCCCAAAATATTATTACTTGAAGGTTCAATTGTTTACCAAAGAACTGAAGGCAGGCTGATGTCATTGGAACCTGTATTAATGCAGGTAAATATACTAATTTTTGTAATTCACATTGTTTTTATCTTTGTATTCTTTATTAGGAACATGAATACTTAAGACACGTAGCGGCGCGCATCAACGCACTTCAACCAAATATAGTTATAGTACAAAAAAACGTCTCTCGTTTGGCCCAAGATCTCCTCCGAGAACAAGGTGTTACATTAGTCATCAACGTTAAACAAAAGATTTTGGAACGCATTTCACGTTGCACTCAGGCCGACATAATCTCTCCAGTTGATGTTCACATTGGACGTCCCAGATTGGGAACATGCAAAAAGTTCTATTTGAGAACTTTTGAGGTCGAGAGAGGAAGAAGTAAAACTTTAATGTATTTCGAAGGATTACCAAACGCTCATCTCGGTGCAACGGTTTTACTTAGGGGAGGTTTCAAGTCCGAACTAGTTCATCTGAAGAACGTTATGTCTTTCTTACTATTTGCCTGCTACAATTGGCGGCTGGAAAAGTCGTTATTGATGGATGCATTCGCTGTTCCGCCAAATAACAAATACGAATTCTTTGATGAAAGCAAGGAAAATTCGCCAATAACAGAAGTCGCAAAGTTCGAAACGAAAGTGAAGAAGATCGACGAGAAAGCGAAACCAGAAATTGTCAAAGAATCCATCAATGATTTTAGTGATCCGCTACATTCATGCAAAGTCGAGGACTTTAAAGAAAATTGCGAGAAACTTTCAGTGGCTGAACTTCCGTTATCAAATCATTTCCGAAAAGCTTTGGACGATACAATATTGTGCATCTCACCGTATTTAGTATTTTCCATGCCATACCTAGAAACTGAGAATGGTAGGAAATGTAGACTACGCAACTTTTTTCCTGAACAAATTTACTACAGCGATCAATTCAGCAATCAAAAGAAGAAACGGTCCCTTAAGGAGGATAACATTGATTTGGTTAACAACATTGATCATTTAAAATCGCCACATGAATTTGTGACTACCAGTATTTGCACAAACGTTGATTCCAATGACATTCAAGCTGTATTAGCGAATTTCCGAGCCGTCGGTGGTCGCCTACCAAAGAAACAGGTATTGGATATAGTTTGCACTGAGGATGATAGAGTTGAGAAGAAGGAGAAGTTTTTGGATCCGAGGAATGTTTTTGATCCACGCAACCACCAGCGTTTAGCCGTATTATTTTGCAGTTTTAGTCAAAATTCCAGCAATGCACCAGCATTCTGTGTTAACCCATGGGTCGTGACCATGGATTTTTACGGAAGAAATGATATACCATTGGGTTGCTTTTTGGAGCGCTACTGCTACAGGCCGACGTACACTTGCCAATCGAAATGTGATACGCCCATGATGCAACACACCAGGCGTTTCGTCCATTATAATGGATGCGTTAGCATCTCTTTATACCATGTTGAAAAATCTATGGAAGAGAAAATTATTATGTGGAGTTGGTGTTCCAAATGTCAGATCGTATCTCCGATGGTTCCAATGTCTAGCGATACTTGGTCATGTTCATTTGCAAAGTATTTGGAGCTCAGATTCCACGGTGGAATATATACGAGGCGCTCGAACACTTTGTGCCAGCATAGTTTACATCATGACTACCACCAATACTTTTCGTACAAGGATGTAGCTGTATGTTTTAAATACACAACTGTTCAACTTTGGGAGATATATCTACCTTCGTTCACAATTGAAATGCATTACAGTTCGAGCAAGCAACAGTGTGAGTTAATTGAGGAAATGAAGGTTCTAGCGTCAAAAGGTCATGATATATTTTCCTTGGTTAGTGAGCAATTGGCGTTGCTTCCGCATGAAGTTGATATAGTTAAAACTTACAAGCAAAATTTGGCAAAGGATCAATCGATATTCAAACAAAGAATAGAAGAAATCCAGTTGAAACTAACCTCACCGACTATAGAGAATAAAGAAAACGACTTCAAAGATCCGAATCTTGAGCTTCAGAGAGCTTTCTGGCGAATTTCCGATGCTTTAGTAAGAATTAAGAGGATGATCGTTGAAACTGTCGATGTGTGGAAAACAAAACTATCGGATGCTGCTATTAAAAAGGAAGAGAAGAAGAAGGATCGGAATTCCCACCAGGAGCTGGAGAGTCCGAGTTCAGAAACTCGGTATTTGCTATCGGAAACTTCGGATTCGGAGGGTAATAAAGATGAACCAACAAACGTCGGTATAATTACAAAGAAAAATAGAAGCTTGGATCAAGGCGATGGTAAATAGTTTTAATTGCTGGGTTTGATGTGACTTAATTAAACTTATTGCAGAGGATCCCAAGGCTTCTCCAAAGTGTCATCAAAGGTCCCAATCAGATGGTACGGTTTTATCACAATTAGAAGATGTATGCGATGGAAAAAAAGAAGTTGACAGAAAGTCGGTGAAAAATATTTTCTCTATATTCTCAAGCACACCTTTTACGATACCCGTAAGAAATATTATATATATAAACGACTTTTATTATATAAAATATTCATATTCTAGCCACCATTTAATAACAATGAGCATTACACCTTGGCATCAGGTGTGTATGCTCCTATCGTTGTGTATGAAAACGAGCCTAGTTCGATTGTGGCGTACGCTCTGAATTCGTTTGAGTATAAGAAGGTTTTTGAAGAATTATCTGGGAAGAAGCCGCAAAGTGCGGAACAAACTCCGAGTCCCGTTCACAAGAGGAAAAACCAAAGCGATAGAAGTGAGAGAGGCGAAAGTGGAGAATTTGGCGCTTCTAACGAGAAAACTTCCGGTTTATTATCCTTCTTAAGAAATAAGGAATCTAAGAGTGATATCTCTAATTCCGCAACGGCGAACGTCTCGGAGATGAGTCAATCATTTGAGGCGCCGCCTGTCGAAAAGGTGGAAGATCATAAGAAGAGCAAGACCGAACATATTGAAATACAATTCGAAGATGTCAATTGCAATTTCTTCTGCAGGATTTTTTGTGCAGAGAAATTTGCTACATTGAGAAAGTCCGTTCTGCCGATCGGTGAGGAAGCTTACATAAGATCTCTGTCGAGGTCCGTGCAATGGAACGCACGCGGTGGTAAATCCGGATCAACTTTCTGCAAGACCATGGACGACAGATTTATACTTAAGGAGATGCCTAAGTCCGAAGTGCAATTGTTCTTAGAGTCAGCACCGAGTTACTTTGCATATCTGCATAGGTGCCTATCAGCAGCACAACCTACTTTACTCGGTAAAATCATCGGAATTTACCAAATTATCTATAGGAACGTGACGACAAACGCAACTCTAAGAACTCATTTATTGGTTATGGAAAATCTCTTTTACAATAGAGTTGTAACCCAGAAGTTCGATTTGAAGGGATCGATGAGGAATAGGCTAGTCAATCCTGATAATCAAGATGGAGAGATCGTCCTATTGGATGAAAATCTACTAAAAAGTAAGAAACTCAAATTTGATTGTAAGTCAATGTTAATATTTTGATTTTAGTGACCTGCGATAATCCGCTGTATGTTCTACCTCATTCAAAGGCTGTGCTCATTGCTGCGATTCAAAACGATACAGAGTATCTTTCTACACAATCAGTTATGGATTATTCGTTGCTCGTCGGATTGGATTCTGAGAATAAGGAGCTAGTATTAGGAATTATTGGTACCATTTTCATTGTTAAAACATTTGAAACCATCTTAACATTATCATTTTTTTCAGATTATATTCGTACCTTTACTTGGGATAAGAAGTTGGAAACTATAGTTAAGAAAACTGGTCTATTGGGAGGTCAAGGCAAGTTGCCTACCATAATTTCACCGCAAGAGTACCAAAAGAGATTCGAAGACGCCATGCATCGTTACTTCCTTGAGGTACCGGATCCTTGGGCGGGATTAGGAAAAGGATTAGAGTATTAAGAGCATTCCCTATGAAACAAGAATAACCGAAATTATTATTACCATTTTAATTATTATTTTTAATATGATTTTTTTTATTCATTTTCTGTTTCTATGTCACTTAACAAATATTTATGTAGTAAACTGTTCAAAGCTTTAATTTGTAATTGTATTTAACAAAGAAATAATAAAATTTTGTTCCGATTTTATACACATTTCCTTCTCGACGCTTCTGCTGTTCATTATATAACAAGTTTCACTGTGTTTTGTGCTTTTAGGCGAATAAATACTAGGTTTTAAATATATTTAAAGATAATATCAGCAGTAGAGGCTACCTCCCTCGTTTGTCTTCCATTCCTTCCTCACGTAATCGATCATTTTCTCGTTGAAACCAAACTGCTCCAATTCTTTCTCGATGGTTTGTTCATTACCTAAACCCACTAGGTAACCGTTTAGTCTTGATGCGATGTGCGACGTTTGTAGCAAACTCGAGGTCATCTCGAGCATTTCGCAGAGCCACGGATGTCTTTGCAATCTATATTTTTGATGATAACTAAAAAAACAAAATTAATATTATATAAAATATTGTTGGTAGGGTATAACTAACTCTTCGGCTGGATAGAATTTACCGGCTGAAGCGATTTCAGTCATCAGTTTTTGGTTCAAACGATCAGCCTGCTGCTTCAGCGATTTCTCCGCTGAAAATAGCTGATCTTCGTTGTGATACAAAATCAAAGACATGTACTGCAACAGAAACATAACAAATATCCTCATTTAATAAAGTTTGCGTCATGTTCACATACTTGTCTTTTGATGATGGTTGTAAGACCATACTCATGGTTATTCCAGAATAACTCCAAAAGGTCCTCGTAAGATACAATCTTCGGATCATAGTGGATTTCTATTACTTCAGTGTGATCACCCCTAAATAAGAAAATTCTTATTAATATTTTTTTTTTAAATAAATTCCGATTAGATCTTTTTGTTTATTTATACCAAAAAAATATGATAAAACGCGATAAAAATGGAATAAGCTTCCTCGTATAGATAAAGTGCACACTTACAAATCTCTATATTTGGGGTCAACTTTGGTACCTCCAGAATATCCAACTTTTGTCCTCAACACGCCAGGCGTTGCTCCATAAAGAGAATCCGATGCCCAAAAGCATCCCATACCGAAGGTCGCCTTCTCATAAGGTGTGTTAATTTCATGTCGTACGCACGGCATTGTTCTGAAACAATACAAAGATTATAAAATTTCAATGTTAAATTGACTCATATTTAATTGAATCATAACATTTGTTATCCAGACATATCAAGCAGATGTATTACGAAACGATTGAAATGCAAAATGATTTATGTTCTCGTGTAAAAAACTGCTACTGTTTGTTATTGCTTTCTGTAATAAGTTTTTAATGGATTTTTCGCGAAGATTACAGTTTGTTTGGCTAATATTTTCGTAGCATGCTGATATAACAGTCAAAACAAAAATAGCGAACATGCATAACAACTATGGATCATGTTTTTGTCTTTTGATTTTATACAATCTCATGCAGTAGGAATTTACGAATATTTTTATAATTTGCTGAATCTCAACACTAGATATAAACAATAAACGCAAGAGTTTCTATACAATTCGCTTAATTTATTAAATTATTTATAATTTTGGTACATATATATCATACATAGTTTATCAATGCAATGATTCATTTAATTTTATACAATATTATACTTAAATAACTTGAATCAAAGGATTATTGAGCAAAATATTTCTGCTCTTTATTTTTAATATTACTATAATAATTTATTTATATAAAGAAGACATTAATTTCGTATGGAATTATAAGTCGTACTCAAAAGTTATGTTTTTTTGTCCATATCTTCATAATAATAACATTTTAAACTAAATTAAAAGTGAAATTACTATCTTAACTGTTTTTAATACCAGGTGCAAAGATTAAGCTTAAAATGATAACGAGATTTTACAAACAATAATCTTATTGCAAAAATTGAAGTATTTTCCCTTTTGTATATGTTTTTTTAATACACAGAATAATTGTATAATTCTATAAATATTTGATGATTTGTGGCTTGGATAGTATTGATTTTTAGTGAATTTAAACGACAACAAAATTGCCTGAGTTTCAATTTTAAATATTGAATGAACATTTGATGAACAATTCTTGTTATTATTTTGGTGTCTTGTTATATTTTCATTGGCGTTATTTTGAAATGCATTTGCGCCGTTCGAGCCTTGACTCATATATCTAATATGTAGCACTATTACGGACGGACAATTCTTTGGGTTTCGTCCGAGTTATGAAACTGGGCACCACAACGGAACGTACAC